CGAATCTTCATGCGGATTCCGGACAATTTCAAATCGGCTCAAAATGGGCATATAGACCAAACAGGATACGCTGATCACGAATCCGAAGTCCGTTCCGCGGCACATATGAAACTTTTCCCGGAATTTCCGAATCCCGAATCTGCATGCGGATTCTGGACAATTTCAAATCGGCTCAAAATGGGCATATAGACCAAAGAGGATACGCTGATCACGAATCCGAAGTCCGTTCCGCGGCACATATGAAACTTTTCCCGGAATTTCCGAATTCCGAATCTTCATGCGGATTCCGGACAATTTCAAATCGGCTCAAAATGGGCATATAGACCAAACAGGATACGCTGATCACGAATCCGAAGTCCGTTCCGCGGCACATATGAAACTTTTCCCGGAATTTCCGAATTCCGAATCTGCATGCGGATTCCGGACAATTTAAAATCGGCTCAAAATGGGCATATAGACCAAACAGGATACGCTGATCACGAATCCGAAGTCCGTTCCGCGGCACATATGAAACTTTTCCCGGAATTTCCGAATTCCGAATCTGCATGCGGATTCCGGACAATTTCAAATCGGCTCAAAATGGGCATATAGACCAAACAGGATACGCTGATCACGAATCCGAAGTCCGTTCCGCGGCACATATGAAACTTTTCCCGGAATTTCCGAATTCCGAATCTGCATGCGGATTCCGGACAATTTCAAATCGGCTCAAAATGGGCATATAGACCAAACAGGATACGCTGATCACGAATCCGAAGTCCGTACCGCGGCACATATGAAACTTTTCCCGGAATTTCCGAATCCCGAATCTGCATGCGGATTCCGGACAATTTCAAATCGGCTCAAAATGGGCATATAGACCAAACGGGATACGCTGATCACGAATCCGAAGTCTGTTCCGCGGCACATATGAAACTTTTCCCGGCATGCAGATTGATATCAATCTCGTACATGCAGATTCCGGACAATTTCAAATCGGCTCAAAATGGGCATATAGACCAAACAGGATACGCTGATCACGAATCCGAAGTCCGTTCCGCGGCACATATGAAACTTTTCCCGGAATTTCCGAATCCCGAATCTGCATGCGGATTCCGGACAATTTAAAATCGGCTCAAATGGGCATATAGACCAAACAGGATACGCTGATCACGAATCCGAAGTCCGTTCCGCGGCACATATGAAACTTTTCCCGGAATTTCCGAATTCCGAATCTGCATGCGGATTCTGGACAATTTCAAATCGGCTCAAAATGGGCATATAGACCAAACAGGATACGCTGATCACGAATCCGAAGTCCGTTCCGCGGCACATATGAAACTTTTCCCGGAATTTCCGAATTCCGAATCTTCATGCGGATTCCGGACAATTTCAAATCGGCTCAAAATGGGCATATAGACCAAACAGGATACGCTGATCACGAATCCCAAGTCCGTTCCGCGGCACATATGAAACTTTTCCCGGAATTTCCGAATTCCGAATCTGCATGCGGATTCCGGACAATTTAAAATCGGCTCAAAATGGGCATATAGACCAAACAGGATACGCTGATCACGAATCCGAAGTCCGTTCCGCGGCACATATGAAACTTTTCCCGGAATTTCCGAATTCCGAATCTGCATGCGGATTCCGGACAATTTCAAATCGGCTCAAAATGGGCATATAGACCAAACAGGATACGCTGATCACGAATCCGAAGTCCGTTCCGCGGCACATATGAAACTTTTCCCGGAATTTCCGAATCCCGAATCTGCATGCGTATTCCGGACAATTTCAAATCGGCTCAAAATGGGCATATAGACCACACAGGATACGCTGATCACGAATCCGAAGTCCGTTCCGCGGCACATATGAAACTTTTCCCGGAATTTCCGAATTCCGAATCTGCATGCGGATTCCGGACAATTTCAAATCGGCTCAAAATGGGCATATAGACCAAACAGGATACGCTGATCACGAATCCGAAGTCCGTTCCGCGGCACATATGAAACTTTTCCCGGAATTTCCGAATCCCGAATCTGCATGCGGATTCCGGACAATTTCAAATCGGCTCAAAATGGGCATATAGACCAAACAGGATACGCTGATCACGAATCCGAAGTCCGTTCCGCGGCACATATGAAACTTTTCCCGGAATTTCCGAATCCCGAATCTGCATGCGGATTCCGGACAATTTCAAATCGGCTCAAAATGGGCATATAGACCAAACAGGATACGCTGATCACGAATCCGAAGTCCGTTCCGCGGCACATATGAAACTTTCCCGGAATTTCCGAATTCCGAATCTGCATGCAGATTCCGGACAATTTCAAATCGGCTCAAAATGGGCATATAGACCAAACAGGATACGCTGATCACGAATCCGAAGTCCGTTCCGCGGCACATATGAAACTTTTCCCGGAATTTCCGAATCCCGAATCTGCATGTGCCGCGGAACGGACTTCGGATTCGTGATCAGCGTATCCTGTTTGGTCTATATGCCCATTTTGAGCCGATTTGAAATTGTCCGGAATCCGCATGAAGATTCGGAATTCGGAAATTCCGGGAAAAGTTTCATATGTGCCGCGGAACGGACTTCGGATTCGTGATCAGCGTATCCTGTTTGGTCTATATGCCCATTTTGAGCCGATTTGAAATTGTCCGAAATCCGCATGCAGATTCGGAATTCGGAAATTCCGGGAAAAGTTTCATATGTGCCGCGGAACGGACTTCGGATTCGTGATCAGCGTATCCTGTTTGGTCTATATGCCCATTTTGAGCCGATTTGAAATTTTCCGGAATCCGCATGCAGATTCGGGATTCGGAAATTCCGGGAAAAGTTTCATATGTGCCGCGGAACGGACTTCGGATTCGTGATCAGCGTATCCTGTTTGGTCTATATGCCCATTTTGAGCCGATTTGAAATTGTCCGGAATCCGCATGCAGATTCGGAATTCGGAAATTCCGGGAAAAGTTTCATATGTGCCGCTGAACGGACTTCGGATTCGTGATCAGCGTATCCTGTTTGGTCTATATGCCCATTTTGAGCCGATTTTAAATTGTCCGGAATCCGCATGCAGATTCGGAATTCGGAAATTCCGGGAAAAGTTTCATATGTGCCGCGGAACGGACTTTGGATTCGTGATCAGCGTATCCTGTTTGGTCTATATGCCCATTTTGAGCCGATTTGAAATTGTCCGGAATCCGCATGAAGATTCGGAATTCGGAAATTCCGGGAAAAGTTTCACATGTGCCGCGGAACGGACTTCGGATTCGTAATCAGCGTATCCTGTTTGGTCTTTATGCCCATTTTGAGCCGATTTGAAATTGTCCGGAATCCGCATGCAGATTCGGGATTCGGAAATACCGGGAAAAGTTTCATATGTGCCGCGGAACGGACTTCGGATTCGTGATCAGCGTATCCTGTTTGGTCTATATGCCCATTTTGAGCCGATTTTAAATTGTCCGGAATCCGCATGCAGTTATTGCAGATTCGGGATTCGGAAATTCCGGTAAAAGTTTCATATGTGCCGCGGAACGGACTTCGGATTCGTGATCAGCGTATCCTGTTTGGTCTATATGCCCATTTTGAGCCGATTTGAAATTGTCCGGAATCCGCATGCAGATTCGGGATTCGGAAATTCCGGGAAAAGTTTTATATGTGCCGCGGAACGGACTTCGGATTCGTGATCAGCGTATCCTGTTTGGTCTATATGCCCATTTTGAGCCGATTTGAAATTGTCCGGAATCCGCATGCAGATTCGGAATTCGGAAATTCCGGGAAAAGTTTCATATGTGCCGCGGAACGGACTTCGGATTCGTGATCAGCGTATCCTGTTTGGTCTATATGCCCATTTTGAGCCGATTTGAAATTGTCCGGAATCCGCATGCAGATTCGGAATTCGGAAATTCCGGGAAAAGTTTCATATGTGCCGCGGAACGGACTTCGGATTCGTGATCAGCGTATCCTGTTTGGTCTATATGCCCATTTTGAGCCGATTTGAAATTGTCCGGAATCCGCATGAAGATTCGGAATTCGGAAATTCCGGGAAAAGTTTCATATGTGCCGCGGAACGGACTTCGGATTCGTGATCAGCGTATCCTGTTTGGTCTATATGCCCATTTTGAGCCGATTTGAAATTGTCCGGAATCCGCATGCAGATTCGGGATTCGGAAATTCCGGGAAAAGTTTCATATGTGCCGCGGAACGGACTTCGGATTCGTGATCAGCGTATCCTGTTTGGTCTATATGCCCATTTTGAGCCGATTTGAAATTGTCCGGAATCTGCATGCAGATTCGGAATTCGGAAATTCCGGGAAAAGTTTCATATGTGCCGCGGAACGGACCTCGGATTCGTGATCAGCGTATCCTGTTTGGTCTATATGCCCATTTTGAGCCGATTTGAAATTGTCCGGAATCCGCATGAAGATTCGGAATTCGGAAATTCCGGGAAAAGTTTCATATGTGCCGCGGAACGGACTTCGGATTCGTGATCAGCGTATCCTGTTTGGTCTATATGCCCATTTTGAGCCGATTTGAAATTGTCCGGAATCTGCATGCAGATTCGGAATTCGGAAATTCCGGGAAAAGTTTCATATGTGCTGCGGAACGGACTTCGGATTCGTGATCAGCGTATCCTGTTTGGTCTATATGCCCATTTTGAGCCGATTTGAAATTGTCCGGAATCCGCATGAAGATTCGGAATTCGGAAATTCCGGGAAAAGTTTCATATGTGCCGCGGAACGGACTTCGGATTCGTGATCAGCGTATCCTGTGTGGTCTATATGCCCATTTTGAGCCGATTTGAAATTGTCCGGAATCTGCATGCAGATTCGGAATTCGGAAATTCCGGTAAAAGTTTCATATGTGCCGCGGAACGGACTTCGGATTCGTGATCAGCGTATCCTGTTTGGTCTATATGCCCATTTTGAGCCGATTTGAAATTGTCCGGAATCTGCATGTACGAGATTGATATCAATCTGCATGCAATTATACGAACGTAATAAATTAGGTATAGGTGTAAGTTTCATGGAATATGAGTGACACAATTGTTCTGATCTTAATGTTTTATTGCATTTTGTGTTATTTTTTTATTTTTCGCCTTAGATTCTGTTGCCATAGTGACCGCTGGTGCAAGTAGGTACTTTTTGTTACAAAAAGGCAAGACTTATATTTCGTCATGACAGAGGGTAAGCTATCTACATAGGCGTGGAAACCCGCCCAGTGTGGGGGGGGGGGGGCAGTGGGGCAGCTTGCCCCCACAATTCTGGGGGCGTGGGGGCGGTGCTGCGGTGCCCCCACAATTTTGAGACGGAATATCGCACTTTGTATGCAAATGTTTTCTTTTTTTTGTTGAAAGGGTCAAGGGATGAGAAATAAAAAGCCAAAAAACGATAAGAAAACTAGATTTCGGGGTACCCTAGGTTGACCTCTATTGACCCTCGCCCCGTTGGGGGGGGGGCATTTTACCCCCCCCCTGTGGTTTTTCCTGAATAGCAAGAAAACGGCGGCGCGCAGCGCCGCTAAATTTTCAGTACCTTCCCGGGCATCAATTTAATACCTTCACAGCAAATTTCAAGTCTTAGGTCACCTTAGGTCAGGAGTTATTGAGGTCAAACTGAGGTCATGTTCGAGCAAAAATGAGCAAAAACATGCTATCTTGAAACGCTCACCAAATCTACAGTTATCAAGCAATTTCAAAGTTCTTTATATGGTCTAGTAGAGAAAAAGCGGCGCTACAAAACTGCTATCTCTGATTTTCAAAATTATGGGTTTTTGATAAAAAAAATCATTTTTTTAACTGAAAAAATTAAAAAATTTCCGAATTTCGAAAAACGGAATATATGTGATAGTCCCTGCGCTCTTCTATATACATACCAAATTTCAGATCGATATTTCGTTTTTTGGCCAAGTTATAGCGAAAAAAACTGTTCAAAAATGATGACGTCAAATTTTTGAACTCGATTTTTAGTGATTCTAGACCGCATACGGCAAAACAAAGACCATCATTGAACTCCCCGTGACGAGCGTCATCAATTCGATACCCATTTTATGCAAAAATATCAACCTTGAAATTTGACCTAATATGACCTGACCTTGACCTGACCTTGACCAAAACGTGACCTAAGCTGGCCCCAAAGGCTGCCTGACCCACTTAATCGCATTTGTCATGTAAAATGAACCATAAAACATGTATCACACGACACTTTCATATTGTGACCCCCCAGTGACCTGACCTCTGTGACCTGACCTGGTATCAGTGACCTCAAATAGCAAAATATGTTTTTGAAGAACATTTTCCCATCGATGATTTTCAATGAAATGCATTTTACTCGATTTTACAACGCATTTCTTGAAATGCCTGTAAACGGTGAAAATTGGACTTTTGACCTGACCTGTGACGTCATCGGTTTGACCTAGGTCAATAAAATTGGGTTTCAAGGTAGTTCCCTGATAGGGCTATCCAACACCGTTCGCCGCTTGTCGCTAGGTTGCGTGGTTCTCGAGATCTTAGGGGGGTCCAAAATGCCCCCCCCCAACAGCGCGCGTTGCTCGGCAGAGCCCAACGGGGCGCGGGTTAACCCTCGCCCGCACATGGGGGGGGGTGGTTGCCACCCCCCCCAGGCAGTCTTTCTGCTCTGCACTCAACATTTTTAAAGCTAGAAGGCTGATTTTTCGTATAGCTGCTCGTCTATCCTTTCTTGATGTCCACTGAAAATTTCAAGTTTCTGTGATTTTTGGTTTCGGAGATATGACCTTGTTTTTCAGGTCATGTCATGACCCAAATGGCCAATTCTCAACATCTTGCGTTTGCCATGGGCCTTGTGAGCTTTTGACACCCTGATTTCGGCCTTTTTTGCCAGTCTTACCTCCCACCTATCATGGAACATGTTGTTCGACGATGTACAGGGGTCAAGGTCAGGGTCAAGGTCAACCTAGGTCATCTAAGATAATTGCGTTTTAGGCAAGCTGAATTTACTTTTTGTGAAGTTTTTTGACTGCATTTTTGGTAAAAGCTTCTCAGATCATGATTTCATGTGATATGGACCCAAAAACAATCGGTGCACACATCAGTATACACACAGACACACACAGACATACAAACACATATAATTGACCTTGACCTAACTTGACCTGAAATGACCTCAGCAGCAAAATTCTGGTCGGATAGTGTGACAAAGAGGTTCTAGCTGGCTTGGCACCAGAAAACAGCATCGTCATCGGTATTTGATAAGCAGCGCACTTGATATCCAACGGTGACCCAAAACAGCAACATTTTTTAGTTTGACCTGACCTGGAAGGTTAATGACTGACCTGAGAAGGTAAAACTGGGTATCATTGGATTCGTCTCTTCCCAAAGAATCTTTTTGGTCTTTACTGCTAAGCTCTATCTCCAACAGGAACGAAATGGCGCGGGGGGGGTGGCAACCACCCCCCCCCCCATGTGCGTTCTAGGATGGGAAAATGGCATGTGCGGGCGAGGGTTAAAAAGTGTGCCCCCCAGTCTGAAAGCAGTTCCCGCGCCACTGGCTATCCAAATGATTCGTATAACCCACACCCCTTGGCCCGTGGGCCGTAGGGCTATCGCCGGACAATGCCACCCGTAGGGGGTAGGGGGGCTGTTTTGCCCCTGAACCCTCGCCAGTCCTATAGGTCCGGCGTGTGTTGGTTTTCTACATTTTCGCCGTCCGAAGGGCCGGTCTTATGCCTACATATTCGCCGGCCGCCGGTGTTACGACCCCCCCCCCCCCCCCGCCGTTTCGACCCTGATAAGCTGATGGAGCTAGAGCGGCGCGGAAAGAACGAACGTGTGCGCCGTTACGAGGCACATCGACTGGAAGGTCTCAGGTGAACCGGGGCCCTCTGAGCTCAGGTCAAGTGACCCGGGCACAGGACCAGTTTTTCGTTAACAACTTCGAAAAAACGGTCGCAGAGCCGCGATTTTGGCATCATCGTGCTCGCCTCGCTCAGGCGGGTCGAATGGTATAGGTACTTTTTGTTCGGGTAAGGTCAATTTAAGGTGCTCACCTCGGGTCAAGGTCAGGTCAGTGCCCCATTGACACCATTGGTGATTTTCCCGGCTCGCTAGGTCCATTTGACCGAGATTTATTTACGAAAAACCCTTATGACCCAAGTGACGCCATAAATAATAAAAATGTGGGGGGGACGGCACCCAACACCTAATAGTTTTTTTTTTGCCGAAAACGGGGCGATAGAGAGCTGAAACTTGTGTTACGTGACCTTCGATCCAAGCCGCATTTTGTGACACCAACTGCATTTTCGGGTCACATCAGATCACTGACTTATGACGTCATAATTGAACCTCTGCACGGTCGTCAGATGTCGCAACTTCACAACGCTCTCAGTGCCAGAGGAGCTTTCACAGGGGGATGGAACCTACAGGACCTATGTAGTATCCTCCAGAGGTCTCACATCTTGTATATCGGATCTTTTTTTAACCCGCGCACCGACGGGGGTCTGCGCCAACTTCGCACCGACGGGGGGGGGCGGATGACCGCCCCCCCTGAGATCTCGAGAATGAAGCAAGATAGCGACAAGCGGTAAACGGCATCGGATACGCACGGCCAAGATCTACAATTTTTACTAAGGTCATTTTCAGGTCAGGTCAAAGATGACGTCACAGGGGTCGGAAAAGTCAAAATGGCGTCGCTAGATATGGAGAGAGTTTTTCTCGAATAACTTTCCAATTAGTCAAGATAGGAACAAACTAAGGGCATCATCGTGATCCTCTCGTCAATCCGCATCGAATGATATATATATATGTTGACCTCGAAAGGTCAAGGTCAAAGGTTGACCTCAGGTCACGTGACCTCGAGGTCATCATGTATATCATTCGATGCGTCTTGACGAGCTGAACACAATGAGACCATCCACGCGTCTGTATCTTGTTCCTGTACGGAGTTATTGGCCAAAAACCTTTGGTGACCTTTGATGACGTCACATGACCTCACAGCTGCCCAACAGCAAAACAGACCTCAAGGTAGTGAAGGTTGATCGTATATGAAGTCATGTATGGTATATGGGGCCATTTCGACCCGTTTTAGTGGTAAAAACAGGGAGTTGATTTTTCCCCCATTGACTTATAATGGGGAGGTCGCGAAATTGACCTGACCTTAGGTCACCGATATCAAAATTCCGAGATATAAAAATTGTAGCTACTAATGACCTAATAATAGCCTGCGACTTTCAGAGGCCTCCGGCATCTACTGTAGCTCTGGCACGGTGACAAAGTTGCAAAAAAGTGACTTGAGGTTGGGTCATTCAAAGTGACCTGGTGACCTGACCTTAACCCGCGCCCGGCTGGGGGTCCTGGATTTCCACGCCCTGCTGGGGGGGTGTTTGAACACCCCCCCCCCCTTCTAACTCGGCTCCTGGGCCACGTAGCGACACGCGGAAGGCGGCGTTCGAAAGAGCGTCAAAAATAATGAGGAAATCACTTCGGTCAATTTTTTGGTCAGGTCAAAGGTCAGGTCACCAGAGGTCATTGAAGGCAAAATTTCGCCGATTTTCAGGTCGAATGTCGACAATTTCCAAGACGCCAACGCATAACTCAGGAACCAATAGAGCTACAGCGCCGCGGAAAAGCGCATTCGATAGCCCTATTAACGCCCTTTCTGAGTAATTCTCTCAGATTTGACCTAACGTCAATGGTTTTGCCTGCAGGGGGCAAAAACTGCAAAAATAGACGATTTTTCGGAAACAGTTTTTCTGCAATAACTTTTGACCCAAGCCTTGTACGAGCTTACTTTTACCGGCATCGTGTTCCTCTCGTCAAGACGCATCGAATGAACTATAACTTGACCTTGAAAGGTCAACTTGAAAATTTGACCTCAGGTCAAGGTCATGACCTGACCGGAAAGGGCCATGTTGCATATCAGTCGATCCGTATCGTCGAGCTGAACACATCTAAGGCGTTTTCATCGCTCTAGCATGCCTCTATCAAAAGTTATTTGCGAAAAACTGTTGGATACCATTCGTGACCTAAGATGACCTCAGGGCATAAACAGGGGTCACGGACACCATTTTCATGTTCAGTGTGTCTAAAACACTTGTAATTCAGTGTTTGGGAGTGTTTATAATGTCTTTCGTCCAAAGGAGGCGCATTTCAATTTTCTCCCATTGACTTATAATGGGGAGGTCGCAAAATTGACCTGACCTTAGGTCATCG